GGGACAGCCTAGTTTTATTAGAAGCTGTATTGTAGGAACGACGCTGGATCATTCTGAGTGCTTCCAGACAGCATCCCTGGATTTTATATTTTACATTTTATATTTTTATACTGTATATCCATTTTTGTAGTCGTAGTTATTTTTATAAGTTTTTGAAAATTTCTATATCAAAATTAAAAGTGATTTCCACACACTGTTAACAGTATTACAGTATTTTGTTTGTTTAGTTACCTTTACTAGTGAGCTTTATATTTTCATATGCTTTTGTGTTGCTATCTGGCATCATTTCATTTCTACTTGAAGGACTCCCTTTAGCATTTCTTGTAAGGCAGGCCTACTGGTGATGGACTCCCTAGCTTTTGTGTATTTGGTGGATCTTTACTTCTACATTTTTGAAGGACAGTTTTGCTGGATATAATTTATTTGAGTGGCAATTTTTTTCTCAGCATTTTGAATTAGATCATCCCACTCCTTGCCAGCAAGGTTTCTGTTAAGAAATCTTCTGGAAGTTTTATGGAGGTCCTTCTGTATGTGATGAATTGCTTTTTCTTGCTGCTTTTAAAATTCTGTCCGAGTTTTGACAGTTTTTTTTTTTTGAAAAATAACTATCTAATAAAGGATATAAACATGAAACAGAAGCATGAAATTATTTTTCAAAGCTATTCATGGCTGCCAAGACAACTCAAATATATTTCAATATAAACTCCTAGTGACAATTTCTTTGATACATCTCATACCAGTGTCACACAGTTCTTTAGGATCAGATCCATGTGACACCTAATATTGTCTCACTTCCAGAATGCTGCCTTGATAGTAACAGAAAAAAGTGGGTGAGATTTGGCTAAAATAACCACGAGATTCTAATTATTAGAACAACTTTCCTACACTAATTATGATGGTCCTCCTCATCTTTATACATTTCTGTAGAAATTACTTAATCATGTTATTTTAGTACAGAAGGTAATCTCTACCTTCACTGTGCAGAGAATCTCCCAGATGGCTTGTTAAAAATGCATTTGCCAGGGTCCAATCCAAGAGAGTCTGATCCAGAATGTTTTGCGTGGGGCTTGGGAATCTGAATTTTCCTTTTTTTTTTCTTTCTTTTGCGTTGGCATCTCACTCTGATGCCCAGACTGGAGTGCAGTGACATACTCCTGGCCACCGCAGCCGTGACCTGCTAGGCGATCCTTCCGCCTCAGCCTTCCAAGTAGCTGGAACTACAGGTGCGTGCTATCTGTGCCCAGCTAATTTTTTTTTTTTTTGAGTTGGAGTCTCACTCGGTCACACAGACTGGAGTGCAGTGGCCGCTCTCGGCCACCGCAGCCTCGCCTGCTGGGCTCCGGCGATCCTTCGCCTCAGCCTTCCGAGTAGCCGGAATTACAGGCATGTGCTACCACGCCCAGCTGATTTTTTTGATTTATTGTAGAGATGAGGTCTCGCTGCCCAGGCGGGTCTTGAACCCTCAGGCTCAGGCAATCCATTCACCTCAGCCTCTCAAAGGCGCGGGATTACAGGCTGAGCCACCAAGCCCGGCTTAACTTTTGATTTACTGTAGAGACGCGGTCTTGCCAAGTTGCCTAGGCTGGTCTCGAACCCGCAGGCTCAGGCAATCCACTCACCTCCCAAAGCGCGGGATTACAGGCTGAGCCACCGAGTCCGGCTAGGAATCTGAATTTTCATTGTGCTATATTAGTTTACTGGGGCTGCCATAACAAAATGCCACAGGCTGGATTGTTGAAATAACAGAAATTAATCTTCTCATACTTTTGGAGGTTAGAAATCCAAGATCAAGGTATTGGCAGGTTTGGTTTCTTTTTTTTTTTTTGAGTTGGAGTCTCCCTCTGTCGCCCAGACTGGAGTGTACACCTGGCTAATTTTTGATTTATTGTAGAGATGAGGTCTTGCCAAGTTGCCCAGGTGGGTCTCGAACCCTCGGGCTCAGGCAGTCCACTCACTTCGGCCTCCCAAAGCACTGGGACTACAGGCTGAGCTACCGAGCCCCTCCGGTTTGATTTCTTTTAAGGCCTTACTCCTTGGCTTGCAGATGGCTGCCTTTTTCATCATATCTTCGCATGGTCTTTCTCTGTGTGTGCACATCACTGGTGTCTCTTTTCTGACTTTTTTTTTTAAAGAGTTAGACTCATGCTATGTTGCGTAAACTGAACTTGTACTCTTAGGGTCAAGTGATCTCCCACGTCAGCCTCCTGAGTAGCTGGGATACACCACCATGCCTGGCTTTTTCTAACTTTTGACAATTTGATTATAATGTGTGTCAGTGTGGACTTCTTTGGGTTCATGCTAGTTGGAATCTTTGAATCTGGATATCCATTTCTTCCCCCAGATTTGGAGATTTTCAGCCTTTAGTCCTTCAAGAAGCTTTTTGCCCCTTTCTCTTTCTTGTCTCCCCTGGGAATCCCATAATGTTTATATTGATCTGCTTTATAGAGTCCCATAACTCCCTTAGGCTCTCTTCACTCATTCTTTTTTAATTCTCTGATTAATTTCAAATGACCTGTTTTTATTTTGCTGAATCTTCTGCTTAATCAAGTCTGCTGTTGATCCCCTCTAGTGAATTTTTCAATTCAGTTATTATATTCTTCAGAGTTTTTGTTTAGTTCTTCTTTTTTTGTTTTCTTTCTTTTTATTGATATTCTTATTTTGTTCATCACTTTCCTGAACTTGTTGAACAGCTTTGTTATGGTTAGTTTGAGTTTTTTGTCAGGTGATTCATATACCTCTGTTTCTTTTTCCTTTTTTTTTTTTTGAGTTAGGGTTTCTCTCTGTCACCCAAGTCGAGTGCAATGGCATGATCATGGCTTACCACAGCCGGCCTTGAACACCTGAGCTCAAGTTATCCTCCCTGCTCAGCTTCCTGAGTAGCTGGGACTACAGGTGCACACCACTACCACACCTGGCTAATTTTTAAATTTTTTACTTGTAAACACAGGGTCTCACTATGTGGCCCAGGCTGGTCTTGAATCCCTGGGCGCAAGCAATCCTCCTTGGGCTCCCAAAGTGCTGGTATTACAGGTGTGAGCCACTGTGTCTCGCCAATAACTGTTTCTTTAAGATAGTTTGTTCCTTTAATTGGTTCGTGTTTCCCTGTTTATTCATAATCCTTGTAACTTTGCCCTATGATCCCTGCATTGGAAAAAAGTCATCTATCTCTCCCAGTCTTTGTGGGCTGTCTTCATACTGGTGATTGAACTTTGCCAGTAAACCTGGTTAGAGATTCTGAGGTTTTCTCAATCCTTTTCTGAGAATGTGTCTTCTTTGGACTTGTGGGTGTAAATTCCCAATTAGAGGGATATCCCAGTTTTCTTTCTCAGGAACTCATCATCTCTTGCTCCCTCTGGTATCTGCCTCTTTTGCTGCAGTTTCTCTGGAGCTACCACAAATCGTCCAGTGTTCTTATTCGGTGGCCCCCAGATTTCTAAGGTATGCCAGGTTCCATCAGTGCTCCAAGTTGGGCCAGACAGAAATCAGTCCCTCAGACAGCACGTCAAAAAGCCAGAGTGTTGGGTGCATACTCCACTCTCTTCCTCCACTGCCCTCTAACCGCCCTAGGGAGAGGTCACTAAGTTGTGTTGGACTCTCCGCCATTGCAGGGATTCTTTGAATCAGCAGCAAGCCGCCCAGCTCTTTTGCTCTCGGGTCTTGCAGGCATCTAAAGCCTGCTAGGCCTTGTCAAGTGTTTTGAGACAGAAACTGGTCCCATGGGCAGGCCCCCGGAAAGCTGGGATGTTAGATGTACACTCAAACTCTTTTCCCAGGGAGAAGCTGGGAGGTAGGGGTTTTCTCCTGCTCGTTCCACACTAAGCCAGGGATGGGGACCATGATGAGTGCTTGCCAGTTCAGATTGTTGCCTTTTTCTCCATGGCCTCCAACCTGGTGCCCTTTCCTGTTAGCACTTAGATTCAGGCAAGACAGAAACCAGCCCCTTGGGTGAGCACCCCAAAAGTCTGAATGTTGGATGTATATTTCAGTCTTCTCTTTCCCTCTCCAGGTAGAAGCTGGAGCTATTGTGATTCTGTAGTTCCGAGCCAGTGGGGTGGTGAAATAAGTGCTGCACTTTTTTCTGCCGAATTCAGCTGGTTTTGTGCTCACCTGGGGTGCAGGAGTCTCTTAACTGGTTTTTGGATTTCTCACAAAGGGTGCTGGTCTATATATTGTTGTTGAGTCAGTGTCTCCATCAGGCAGAAGAGAATCTGAGGCTTCCTACACTCCACCATCTTTATAACTTGCTGAGGTCACTATCTTGACATTGTCTATATATTTTTTTTCTTTTGGAGTTGGAGTCTCACTCTTGTCACCCAGGCTACAGTGCAGTGGCACCCTCATGGCCCCTGCAGCTTTGATCTGCTGGGCTTAGGTGATCCTTCCGCCTCAACCTTCCAAGTAGCTGGAACTACAGACACACGCCACCACACCTGGCTAGTTTATTTGTGATTTATTGTAGAGATGAGGTCTCACAAAGTTGCCCAGGCTGGTCTCGAACATGCAGGCTCAGACAGTCCTCTCATCTTGGCCTCCCAAAGTGCTGGGATTACAGGCTGAGCCACCGCACCTGACTGACATCGTCTACTGATAATTCATACTCTTCTCCAGATTGGGAACCCCTGGAGGATTAGGGATCACACCATCTCTGTATGCTCAGGATTTAACACAAGCATGTGGATAGAATATAAACCATACTGTAAGAATTTTAAGGAAGTCCAACAGAAGGAGAAGTTCTGCTGGGATAATTTCTGGAAAGGCACTAGTTAAGACCACGTCTGCAGTTAGGATTGGGTTTTAATCCTAACTGCCAGTACTCTTTGGATGATTTGGGTTAAGTTACTTAACCCCTCTGAGCCTCTGTTTCTTCGGTGGAACATGGGGTCAGTATTAGCATAACTTCCTGCCAACTAACTGGGACTGATGTGGTTAGCACCTAGTAAGCACAAGTAAATGATAGCGATGGTAGCTGACGTTGTGAAGGTGTTTGTGCTTTGTTTGTTTCAGATGCTTGCTCTGACAAGGCACAGCCTATTGTCTCCTTTGTGCAGTGTGATGTCGTTCAGACGCTCCTACAGAGGTGACAGCCCAGCAGATTCCCAGAAAGACCTGATTGAAATACCTTTGCCTCCATGGCAGGAGAGAACCGATGAGTCCATAGAAACCAAAAGAGCCCGCCTGCTCTATGAGAGCAGAAAGAGGGGAATGTTGGAGAACTGCATTCTCCTCAGGTATGGGAGCAGGAGTCAGCATTACTCATCTTAGACTAGAGATGGCCTTTTCAACACTTACTCTTTCTTTCTCATGTTTAGCCTTTTTGCTAAAGAATACCTGCACCACATGACAGAGAAGCAGCTGAACCTCTATGACCGTCTGATTAATGAGCCTAGTAATGACTGGGATATTTACTACTGGGCCACAGGTACGTAAGAAAATAGGATGAGGTAGGTTGACGTGTGTCTGGAATTGCATCTTAGACTTTTTTTTTGGCTTTTATTCATGCAATTGACACTCAACCCAAAAACTGTTTACATTTTTCAAAGTGTGCAGAATTTGTTTTATCAGTTAAGGTTCTTTGTTTGAAAGGCAGAATAGAAACCCATCTGTCTCACTTAAGCAAGAAGGGAATTTGGTGGAAGGGCGTGCGAAGCTATCAGCATCAATGGTTGAAGAAGAACCAAGCTGAGAATGTATAGTTATAATCTGCTTTGAGTATAAGTCAAAGAAATCCAAAACAAGAATGACCTCAACAAGATAAAACTCATTCTTTCTCGAGATAGAAGCCCAGAAGTAGGCACTCCAGAGCACATAGAAAGGCTTCAGCGGGCTCAGTGGCCCAGCCTATAATCCCACGCCTTCGGGAGGCTGAGGTGAGTGGATTGCCTGAGTCCGCGGGTTCGAGACCCGCCTAGGCAACTTGGCGAGACCTTATCTCTACAATAAATCAAAAATTAGCCGCGTGTGGTAGAACACACCTGTAGTTCCAGCTACTTGGAAGGCTGAGGCGGAAGGCTGAGACGGAAGGATCGCCGGAGCCCAGCAGGTTGAGGCTGCGGTGGCCGGGAGCAGCCACTGCACTCCAGTCTGGGCGACAGAGTGAGACTCCAACTCAAAAAAAGAAAGGCTTCAGAAAGCTGTGAGGTCCAGAGGCCCCCTGACTCACTGCTCCTGCAGCCCCAGCATATGTTGACTGCCTCGTGATCCAAGATGTCTGTATTTTAGTCAGGAGAAAAGTTGTCAAAAAGCATCCCCTTTTGTAGCTCCTTCTCAGGAAGTTATACATCCTACTTCCTCTTATCTTCCATTGGCCACAGCTTAGTTGCGTGGTTACATCAGACTGTGAGGAAAAAATAATGTAGTCTGTTTCATGTGCCCTAGTACACTGGGGATTCTGTTATCAGGGAAAAATGAGTGAGTGGGTCTTAGGGGATGTTCATTTCTGCCATATTCCCGGTCTCCTGGTTTGGTGTCTGCACTCAATGTATCAGAAAGTAGAAGCCGTTCTGTGGGTTCCAAGTCTAAGGAGTGATAACACAGTCTAGAGGCTTATCAGCCACTGGAAAGCCCACAGAGTCTAAAACATTTACCATCTGGCCTTGACAGAACAAAGTTGCCCCTGACTTGGCAGAATGCATTTGGGATTCATCCATGTCGATTGCATCAATAGTTCATTCTTTTGTGTTGTTGAGTAATATTCCCTTGTGTGGGTGGATGTACCATAGTCTGTTCTTCCATTGACCAGCTGAGGGAATATGAGGATTGTTTCCAGTTTTAGGCAGTTAAAAATAAAGCCACTGTAAGCAATTGATGCAGATTTCGTGAACATGGATTTTAGTTCTATTTTTTTATTTTTTATTATTTTTTATTTATTTATTTATTTATTTTTTGAGTTGGAGTTTCACTCTGTCGCCCAGACTGGAGTGCAGTGACCGCTCCCGGCCACCGCAGCCTCGACCTCCTGGGCTCCGGCTATCCTTCCGCCTCAGCCTTCCAAGTAGCTGGAACTACAGGCGTGTGCTACCACGCCCAGCTAATTTTTTTGATTTATTGTAGAGATGAGATCTCGCCAAGTTGCCCAGGCAGGTCTCAAACCCGCGGGCTCAGGCAATCCACTCACCTCAACCTTCCAAAGGTGCGGGATTACAGGCTGAGCCACCGAGCCTGGCTTATTTTTTTATTTTTATTTTTTAGTTTTAGAGCTGTGGGGTACTCATGGGGCTTTACTACACAAGTAGGTTGCATACAGGTGAAACTTGGGCTAGATTTTCGTTTTTCTTGGGGGAATACCCAGGGGAGAATTTCCTGGGTCACTTGATAAGTATATGCTTAACTTTGTAACAGGATTTTTTTTTGTACCGGGCCAGATGATAAATGTTTTGGGCTCTGCAGGTCATACGGTCTCTGTCATAACTATAGAGACCTCTGCCTTTGTAGCATGGGAGCAGCCATAGACAATGGGTAAACAAATGGGTAACTCTGTTCCAGTAAAACTTTTATGGACACTAAAGTTTGAATTTCACATAATTTGCACATGTCATGAATACCCTCTTCTTGATTTTTTTTCTCCCAACATTAAGAAATCATTTGTAGCCAGGCTCAGTGGCTCAGCCTGTAATCACGCGCCTTTGGGAGGCTGAGGTGAGTGGATTGCCTGAGCCCACGGGTTCGAGACCCGCCTGGGCAACTTGGCAAGACCTCATCTCTACAATAAATTTTCAAAAAATTAGCCGGGCGTGGTAGCGCGCGCCTGTAGTTCCAGCTACTTGGAAGACTGAGGCGGAAGGATCGCCGGAGCCCAGTAGGTCGAGGCTGCGGTGGCCGGGAGCGGCCACTGCACTCCAGTCTGGGTGACAGAGTGAGACTCCGACTCAAAAAGAAATCATTTGTAACTCACAGACCATACAAAAACAGGCTCTGGGTCATAGCTTACCAACTTCTGTGTTAGGTGAAAGAGGACAGGCTCAAATAGTGCATCCTGGATTATTCCATGTATATACTAGTCTGGAAAAGGCAAAAACTGTAGGGACAGAAAACAGGTCAGGGATTGCCAGGGAGGAATTGATGTTCACATCTTCACCAGCACTGGGTATTAGGGTTTTTGTTTTTAGCCATTCTAAGAAGTGTGTATTGGTGTGTCGCCATATTTTTAGACGGCATGTTCCTAATGGCTAATCATTTTGAGGATCTTTTCAAGTATTCATTCACCATTCATGTATTGTGTATCTGGGGTGATGTGTCTCTTCAACTTCTCTCCCCTTTTTTTTTTTTTTTTTTTTTGAGACAGGGTCTTATTCTGTCACCAAAACAGCCTCAACCTCCTGGGCTCAGGTGATCCTTCTGCCTCAGCCTCCCAAATAGCTTGGACTACAGACATTCTCCACCATGACTAGCTAATTTTTAAAAATTTTTTGTAGAGATGAAGTGTCCCTCTTGGGCTCAGGCAATCCTTATGCCTCAAGCCTCCCAAAGTGATGGGATTACAGGCGTGAGCCATCATGCCCTAACCCTTCTTAAGTGAATTTTGAGTGTTTTAATTCATTCTGGATTCATATCTCTTATCAGTTATGTGTTTTTCACTTTTTTAAAAAAATTTTTAGTTTTTGTGTAGAGACAAGGTTTCTTGCCCAGGCTCGTCTCTAACTCCTAGCCTCAAGCAATGCTCCTGCCTCAGCCTTCCAAAGTCCTGAGATTACCGGTATGAGCCACTGCGCCCAGGCTTTCAGTACTTTATTTTTTTTGAGTTGGAGTCTCACTCCATCACCCAGGCTGGGATGCAGTGGCACACTCACAGCCACCCCAGCGTCAACCTGCTGGGCTCTGGCAATCCTTCCGCTTCAGCCTTCCAAGTAGCCGGAACTACAGGTGCGTGCTACCACATCCTGCTAATTTTTGATTTATTGTAGAGACGAGGTCTCACCAAGTTGCCCCGATGTGTCTCAAACCCAAGGGCTCAGGCATTCCTTTTGCCTCTGCCTCCCAGAGTGCTGGGATTACAGGCAGAGCCACTGTGCCTGGCCAGCTTTCAATACTTTAAATGAGCATCCTTCTATTGTTAGGCTGTTAGTGTGCAAGAATGAGTTCGTCTTGTCAGATGTTGAGCTGGATTTGGATTTTGCTGTTGCTTTGGTTACCTTCAGTGTGCCACCAGCTTCAAATTCCTCTAGTGTTACTCTGTGCTGTTTTCTGGTGTGCATAGTTTCTGACCAGAGGTCTGCTATTATCTTTCCAAATGCTTTCAGTGGTTTATCTTTGGTTCTAGCTGCTTCAGTATGATGGGTCTGCATATTTATTTTGGTATTTATCCTGCTGTGGAGTTCTCTGGACATTTTGGATCTTGTGTTTTTATATCTTTAATTATTGTTAAAAAAATTCTCAGCTGTTATATCTTCAGACATTGCTTCTGCTTTTTCCTCTCCCTCTTTTCCCCCTGGGATTCTGATTATACTGACATTAGACCATTTAATATTGTCCCCCAGGCTGGGCACAGTGGCTCAAGCTTGTAATCCCAGCACTTTGGGAGGCCGAGGCAAGAGGATTGTCAGAGCCCAGGGGCTTAAGACCAGCTTGGGCAACTTGGTGAGACTTCGTCTCTGCAATAAATCAAAAAATTAGCCTGGCGTGGTAGAGTGCACTTGTAGTTCCAGCTACTTGGAAGGCTGAGGCAGAAAGATCACCTGAGCCCAGCAGGTCAAGGCTGCAGTGGCCGTGAGCGTGCCACCTTGCTCCAGCCTGGGCAATAGACTCCAACTCAAAAAAAAAAAAAAAAATTAGCCGGACATGGGGGCATCTGCCTGTAGTTCTGGCTACTTGGAAGGCTGCGGCAGAAGGATCACCTAAGCCCAGCAGGTTGAGGCTGCAGTGGCCGTGAGTGTGCCACTGCACTCCAGCCTGGACAACAGAGTGAGACTCTTGACTCAAAACAAAAAACAAATACTGTCCCCCAGCTTTTGCATTCTCTGTATTCTGTTTTTACTTGTTTTTCTCTTTGCGTGTCAGTTTGGGTAATTGGTTTTAGATAATATCTGTTGGCCTGTCTTCCACTAATTCCTTCCTTGATTATATCAGATCTTATGATGAGCCTGTTGAAATCATCCTGCGTATCTGCTACTGTAGGTTTATTTTTAGCATTTCCATTTGACTCTTGCAGCTTCCAGCTCCCTGTTGGAATTCCTCATCTGTTCATGCATTTTGTCTGCTTTTTCCGCTAGAGCCTTTAATATTAGTCATAGTTATTTATTGTATGTTTGTTTAGTTTAGAGAGGGTCTCACTCTGTCACTCAAGCTAAAGTGCAGTGGCATGGTTATAGTTTACTGTAACCTTGAACTCCTGGACTCAAATGATCCTCCCACCTCAGCCTCCTGAGTAGCTGGGACTACAGGCACGTGCCGCTATGCCCAACTAGTTTTTTAAGAATTTTATGTGAAGACAGTGTCTCACTGTGTTGCCCAGTCTGTTCTCAGACTCCTGGCCTCAAGCAGTCCTCCTGC